AAAAAAAAAAAAAAAAAAAAAAAAAACACTAAGGGAAACATCATTGGCCAATAAACACATATGAAAAAATGTGCTCAATTCACTTGCAATCAGGGAAGTACAGACGCTCATATTCAATAACTGAAGGGATTCAATATTGGTGCAATGATGGAGCAATAATCTAGCAATATGTGAAACACAGTATACACAGCACTTCTAGATATGCACCTTTATCAATTCTTCAAAGAAATAAGAAAACGGCTTTCAGCGACTGTGAAGCTGGGGAGGTCCCGGCTGGGAGAAGGACATCGGATCTCATTGTCCTCCCAGCCTTTCGACCCTCTCCCAAAGCCGCTCAATAAACTGGCTTGATGCCAAAAAATAAAAATAAGAAAAAAACCACACAAAATGGTATTCAATATAGCATTTTTATTACAATGAAAAATCATTTTGTCCTAATCACTGTTTAATAGAATATTTAAGCATGTTTAATACATACATTATCAAGCACCAGGCTGGAATTTTTTCCATTCTATAGAAAATCACTAGCCTTCCATTCAAGCAGGAAGCTGCTTTCAGAGTATAATGTGAGCTGCGAAAGAAAAGTGCCCTTCCTCACCCCTTCCCAACACAATCACTCACCATGTCTGAAATGACATCCTTGAAGACATTCATTGTGGTTATGGTAGCATCTACCAAAGTGGTTCACATTCTAAAGGTGTTAAAAGGTATTTGGAGTGAGAAGTGCACAATGAAGTAAATTTGAGATACACTATGTTAAATGAAAATATCTTTAATACATCTTTCGACAAGCTGATAACGTGTACTTGGATTTCCCCCAGAAGTAGATACTTTATCCTTTGTTTCATTTACACTTTTTCCCAAGACATATTTTTTCAAATATCATCAAGGACTAGTATTCCCTGAAGCAAACTTGTGGAGAATGTTGGTTAAACACTGGTCTTCTGGAGCTACTTTGTACTTGGGAAAGGCAAAACACTGGCCTATTAGTGAAGACTGATTTTGTAAGAAATTCTAAATATAACTATTTAGAATTATGAAGAATAGAATTTTCATAAGTGAAGCTGGTCTAGATTTTGCTCTTTATCTTCATCTAGTTTTGTATCAGATTATTTCACCTGTGTAAAATTAATTGGTAAAATCTTGTTAAGGATTATCTATTCTTAAGGCTTTTACCTATACAGCTATCAGTTTTTTCCTTAAACAGGAACTTCATACACACACACATTTATTTGTTGGTCTGTGGGTTCTAGAGCACAGTCAATTGTGATAACACACTTATAGAGAAGAAAATGTAATCCCTCTATATTTTTACATATATTGGAATACATACAGTACATACAGTGTTACCTTATAATTAAAAGGAAAATTTATTCATAATCTGTAATCACTTTTATCATCATTAATGCTGAATGTTTATATTTCATTTTCTTTTCCTTGATTAAACCTGCCAAGATACAGTCATTAACATTGGAAGTCTACTAGTGTCTAATCTCTTAATTTCTACTTTCAATTGTACTTTGCTTCTCTTGTGTTGGTTTTACTTTGTTCTGTTTCTTGTTTCTTGATATAAATGCTTATTCATTCTTTAATACATTTATCTACATGACAGGCCCAGCACTGATTGCTGCAGGTAAGTGAAGAAGGTGAACACTGGGCCCACAAACGAAGTTTCCTTAATGCATTCAGGGGCACACATTTCTCACTGAATAGAACTTTGGTTATATCTGACAAATTTAGATATGCAGGCATCTCATTAACAATCATTTCTTAAGTAGTGTATAATTTCAGCTTTGATTTAAAATATTATTTCAAATACATAAAAAAGTAAAAATTTTAGAACAATGAACCCTCCATAAACAGCTACTCTACTTCAGTAATTATCAACATTTTGCTAATCTACTTTCTAGCTCTTTGCCAATTTGCTTTCTTTTTATTTTGCTGGAGTTATTTTAATGCAAATCTGGGTATCTTATTTCCTATATATGTATCTCTAACACATAGGATGTTCTATCTTTTAATAACCACATTGACGTTATCATCCCTAACAAACAAAACTAATATTTCTAAAAATCATTTAATAGTGCATGTCCACATTTCCCCCAGTCTCCAAAATGTTGTTTTACATTTTGTTCAATCTGGGTCCAAATAATACCCACATATTGAATTTAGTTGATATGCCTCATCTTTTTAAATCTGTTAACAGTGCCCTTCTTTTCTTTTTCATGCCACTCATTAGTTGAAGAAATCATGTCATTTGTTTTGTAGAATTTTACACATTCTGGATCTGCTTGGCTGCTTCCTTGCAGTGCCATTTACTTTTTCATCTATTCCCCAAATTCTTGGCTGTAAAATTTTTGATTTAAAGGTTTGATTCCTTCAGTTCATTATTTTGGCAATAAGATTTCATAGGTAGTGGTATGTACTTCCTAATTGCATTGTATCAGGAGGTGCCTATTGTCTGATAGTCCCACCTTTATAGAGGTTAAAATTGAATAAAGGACTCAGAGGTGGTCAGCTTGATAAATCCAATGTAACGTTCTCACTATAAACTTTTTCCCAAATAGTTTTATATCCACTGAAGATCATTTTCTGGACCCATTATTCCATTAGGAACTAGAAAATTTTTGTAATCCTATCAATTTTTCTATATTTACTGGTGAGATTTCTTAAATTAAAAAAAAATTAATTTGATGAGCTTTGGGTGACTCTGAAACTTGATTCACATGGGAAAAGCAAAATAAATACTTATTTTTCCATTTATTTATTGGTTTTCACAATAATGAGTTGGTACCCAAGCATTTCTCATAGCAGCCATAACTAAATTATCAAACTGCTATTGGGGTCATGTGAAAAGACCCAACTCCCACTGGCTGAAGATGGGGCAATTTGAGCATCAAAAAGTATATTGACTGTAATGGAAAGTTTTCTTTCTTTTATACAGGAGTATCATACACACACATACACACACAATTAAACTTCCAAGTGGTTAGTCCCTTTATGCCACCTTTTTGATAATTTCTAATTAGTTGAATGTGGTCAGAGATGAGAGATTATAAAACATTTACTCTTTGGAATTTATTATGGGAAAATAATTTCGTATTTCTCTTTGATTCTTCCAATAGCTGTACTCTTAACAACCTCATATTCATGAAATTCATAAGGTTTCTTTTCAGCATGAAATTTCGGATGCAGCTCAAGTGATGAAGAACTTCTCACATTCAATATAACCTCCTAGATTTTATCCAGAATAAATTATCTTAAGTTTAGTAAGTGCTAAGCAGTGACAGGAGGCATTTCTACATTTATTACTTCTATAGGATATTCCTTTCATATGAATTCACTAATACTAATGATGTTAATAACAACTATAGGTAATATTTACAGAAAACATGCTATGTGGCTGCTATTTTTCCAAGTATTAACTACTCACTCCTCACAACAATTCTATTACATGATGTAGCAGGCTGACTCTGAATTGGCCCCAGTGGTCCCTCCCTCCTGGTATTCATACTCTTGTGTAAGCCTGTTCCCTTGAGTGTAGGGTGGCCTAATTCCTTGCTTCTAACTAAAAGAAGATAGCAAAGGTGATGAAATAATGTCATTTCAATGATTAGATTACACAAGATGATAGCTTCTTTGATGCTAGCAGCCTCTTGCTTCCTTGGCTTGCACTTGCACTCTGATGAAGTAAGCAGCCACCTTGAAGAGGCCCATGTAGCAAGGAATTGAAGTCAGCCTTTAGCCAACAGCCAGCTAGAAACTGAAGACCTCAGTGCAACAGCCCTCAGTGAATTAATTAGGTCAACAACCACATGAGGTTGGAAGTGCATCCCTTCCCCAGTTGAGCCTTCCGATGAGACTCAGCCATGGTTGAAATCTTGATTTTAGCCTTGTGAGAGGCCCTGAAGCAGAGAACCCAACTAAGTTATGCCTAGACTCCTGACCCACAGAAACTGAGATAATGTGTATTATTTTAAGCTACTAAGTTTGTGGTAATTTATTACACAGCAATAAATAACTAATATACATAGGTACTACTATCACCATTTTACAAGTGAGCAAAATGAGGCACAGAAATTTAAGTACCTTATCTAATAACACACTGGTAATAAAGGGGTGAAATGGTGATAATGATAGATAAGGCTAAAGATCTTCCTGCATTCATTATATTATTTCCTCATATAAATTTGCTGAAGATAAACAATGTCTGAATGGAGGTGGAAGGTTTTAAAGCAACAATTTTTTCTGAAATATAAATTTTTAATGCTTAGTTATGAGCATGAAACAAATTTTCTCAAAAATGAATTTTCTGATGTTCTGTAACATGTACATTTGAAAGCCTTCTTGTATTAAATTCCATTATGAATTTTCTGATGCTGAGTAAGGTGTGAATGTTGTCTAAAGGCCTTCTTACATTCCTTACATTTGTAGGGTTTCTCACCAGTATGAATTCTCTGGTGTTGAGTAAGAAAAGAATAAAGTCTAAAAGCTTTACCACATTCCTTACATTCATAAGGTTTCTCTCCAGTATGAATACTCTGATGTTGAGTAAGTTGTGAGAGCAATCTAAAAGGCTTTCTACATTCCTTACATTCATAAGGTTTCTCACCAGTATGAATACTCTGATGTTGAGTAAGTTGTGAGAGTAGTCTAAAGGCCTTCCCACATTCTTCACATTCATAAGGTCTCTCACCAATATGAATGCTCTGATGGGAAATAAGTTGTGAGTAACTACTAAAGGTCTTCCAACATTCCATACATTCATAGGGTTTCTCACGAGTATGAATTCTCTGATGGCGAACAAGTTGTTGCCTTAATCTAAAAGTCTTCCCACACTCTTTACATTCATAGGGTTTCTCACCAGTATGAATACTCTGATGGACAGTAAGCTGTTGGCATATTCTAAAAGCCTTTCCACATTCCTTACATTCATAGGGTTTCTCCCCAAAATGAATTTTCTGATGTATTCTAAGGTCTGGACCACATACGAAGGCCTTCCCACATTCCTTACATTCATAGAGCTTCTCAGAAGTATGAAGTCTCTGATGTCGAGTAAGGTGTGTACACTGCCTAAAAGTCTTTCCACATGCCTTACATTCATAGGGCTTCTCACCAGTGTGAATTCTCTGATGTCGAGCAAGCTGCTGATGTACTCTAAAGGCCTTCCCACATTCCTTACATTCATAGGGCTTTTCACCAGTATGAAGTCTCTGATGTTGAGTAAGTTCTTGGAGGACTGTAAAGGCCTTCCCACATTCCTTACATTCATAGGGTTTCTCACCAGTATGAAGTTTGTGATGTCTAATAAGGTGTGCACGCTGTCTAAAGGCCTGCCCACATTCTTTACATTTGTAAGGTTTTTCACCAGTATGAATTCTCAGGTGTTGACTAAGTGTTGAGCGACGAATAAAGGTCTTCCTACATTCCTTACATTCATATAACTTTTCTCCATTATGAATCCTCTGATACTCAGCAAGAAGATTATGCCTTTTGTAAGTGGACATTTTTTCAGAAACAATTTTCACTTGCCCAAAATATCCCTCTTGTGGTTCCTTTTGCCCCTCAATCTTGCTTTTGCATTCCCAATCATTTCTAAAAAAGGAGTCCTGAAGGCCATAGCTTTTAATTCTTTCCATTATCTCCCACTGGAATGAATATATTTCATAAATGTCCTTTGCTGGAGATAAAGTATTGGTCCTGTATCTGGACTCCAAATCTGAAAGAAAACAAGAAAGCAAACACACGCTGTTTTCCGGTTCCAGAAGAAAGAAAACTATACGAAATAAAAAGCACCTAAAATAATGCCTATTACTGAAACTGAGCAGGACCCTGTGGGGCTCCTGCGCACGGGAGCCTTTCTGTGTCCCCCATTTCTTTGTTTGCAGGGAACAGACTCCAGCCTCTATGACCTTCCCTGAGTTCCAAAGGGCAAATTCGAACAGTTGCTAATCAGGGAAGGGAGGGGATGCAGAAACAAGGAAGGAGTAGTCAAGAAACAACAGTACAACCTTGGGGTGTCCTGGTTCCACATCAAGGGATACACATAACAGTATCTTTGAGTTCTGCAGAACTAAAACCCCCACCAAACAGATGTTCCAGAGAGAAAGTCACAGTTTGATAACCTCGAGAAGCTCATCAGGAGACCACCTGAGGCCAGATTAAAGGAATACAGGCCCTGCACACACCCTGATCCTTATCAGCAACCCCACCCTTGAACCACTGCTATAAAACTCATCAAATCCTCCTGGGTTGGGACACACATTTTTTGAGGCATGAGCCTGCTGTGTCCCCGTTTGCCTGGCAAAGCAATAAAGCTATTCTTTTCTACTTCACCCAAACCTGCGTCTCTGAGATTCGATATGGCACTGGTGCACAAAGGCTGAATTTTCAGCATCATTACAAGTGAATGGATTAGCCATCTCTAGAAGATA